TTGAGTCACTGGGCCTTGATTATTGCTAAAAGCCTACCCAAATGATTTGGGCTCAAGCCCATTTTCTGGCCAATCTGACATATCTATAGCCAATTTTATGATTTGTTTTAGTAGGACGAAATTAAACCTTCAAACTTTAGACGAGTTTGGCACCCATTTTATGATATAATTTTATTTAGAACGAGAAGTACTCCTATTCAATCGAAGCGGTAGCGAAGTTCTGGTGGTGATGTAAGTGCGCGGTTTCATTATATATATATATATATATATATATATATATATATATATTTACATTGACTTTGATGATAAAGATTTTAGACTTTCGTAAAGAAGATTACGTAAGGGATTTGAATTTAAAATGTCAAGAGGAAAGRTTTGAGATTTTAGCCAAATGTCAACTAAAAAACATCAAAGAATTAATCCACCAAACACGGACAAGAACTGAATTAAGTTTTTCATTTTCTTTTTTAATCTCCAATAATTTTCAATGTTAAACTTTAGGTACTTAATTTTCTTGCTTTGTATTATTGCTTAAAATCATTGACCACTTTGTCTTTATAAAAAGGTTTATTTTTTCTCAATATTTTCTTATGCATCTAAACTTTAATTAGTCATGTCAGAGTTTAATCCAAATAAAATAAACAGTATTATTTGAAACATTTAATCATGTTTTGAGTGAGATGAGACAATCTAAGTGATGTAATATCTTTGGGTTTCACAGAATATTAAAATTGGGAAAACTAAAATAAAATTGAAATTGATTTGACAATTCAGGATATATGTGGGGTTATGGAAGGAGTTGAGATTCTAATTACAAAGGCACATATGTTTTTATGTGTTTGACTTATTATGTTCTATGACCAACCACAAAAGAGGAAAAAAAAAAAGATATTATACTTTCTTTTTCACTGTTTTTTAGGCTTTTTTACCCCTTGGAAAAAGGAAAAATAATATTTTAGGTCCCCTAACATCTCAAAATTATGCTTTTAATTAAGGCTTTTAGAGTGTGAAAAAAAAACCTAAAAATCATCTATATTTCAAAGGCTTTTTTTTTTTTTCCTTGTCTCTATCATATGTGTCACATTAATTGAGTGAGTGGTTTCCAAGTAGATTAGCACATGTTATATTAAGGTGTGTGGAATGAACCCACAAAAAAATACGAATGGAAAATGGAAAAAGGAGCCACATCCACAAAGAAAGAGGCAAATGCATGGCCGAAATTTTGGAAAATTTTGGCATTTGATCCATCACCATAATTACACATAAACCCCATCATACAATAATGCACCTACATTCCAAACACCACACATTTTTTGATTTCCTTTGAAAATTCTATTTTAATCCAAGTTCATACACAAATTACTCAAAAAAAAAAAAAAGGAAATAAAGAAAGAAAAGAAAGCACTTTTCTTATGTGGTCGTATCAAATCACTCGACCCATTTTTTTAATTTCTTCCTTTACCCTATGTTGTTTTCCTCTTTATTTACATGTTTTGTTGAGTATGACAACCCGATCGTGATTTTGAAACTATATATGTCTTGATACTTATTTGTCTAGTGTTCATGGGCTTATTTTTACATGACTTTGATAACCTTTCATATCTCCACTAAGAATATCCAATGTGATAGGACGGTGTTCAATCAAGAATTTGGCCCGTCTGCGGCTATATGGTGAAAGATGACCTGACATGCAATTTGGATGCGTGGTTGACTTGTAAGAAAAAAAACACTCTGACACTCAAGTCAATAAGTGATCGAGCTATATTCGAGAGAAAATATAGTTTCGTGTACCTGGAAATGAAGCGAGAGGTTACTATTTATAGGTGGAGCTTCCGACAGGGCCTTTGACAAAGCTCCAACGACTCTTTAAGGTTCTAGAAACGAATGTGTGCTATCGTGAAATATGTCAAAGAAACGATTCTGGTGAAGTGTCTTTTGATCAGCTTGGCCAATCAAATAGGTTGCTGACACGTGAAACATGGGATCGGCTCGGCCAACTTATAAAGGGTCAAGTCGAAGGCTCGATCTTACTGGAAGAATTCTGAGGTGACGAATTTACTTACTATTCTCATTGTATCAAGACTGGCATGTGGCCATTGAAAAATCACCTCAACTGGCACGAGTACAGACAATATTTTCCCATCTATATCTCCCCGCTCCCCAATTAGTCAAAGGTCAAGGTGTCTACCTACGAGAATTCCTCTACAAAAAGCTATCAAGTCAGATTCTTGTTTAGCTTTGAGATTAAGGATTAGGGTCAACATGGTGGGTCCAATTTCTCGATCAAATTTGATACCTCTAATCTTTATAATAGTATATAAAGATTAGAACTCAATTGGTTGGAGCTACTTTTTAATAATTTCCTCTTTGTATATTGAATCCATGAATAAGTCAATGAACGTAGAGTCATGTTTATTGACTTCATTAATTACCATGACCATTCTCCATGCCTACCTCTCTATAATAATTTGTCTTTCGTTTTGATTGAAATTATAACCCTGCTCTCTCTCTAAAGTTGTATACAAAACCCCACAAAATATTTCAAAAATTAGTGGTCAACTTTGTTCATTTTAGTTCTCGTGCTTTCAAAATGTTCGTTTTGGTCATTGTACTTTTAAAATGTGACAATTTTGGTTCATATTAGCAACATTTTAATACAAATTCTACATGTAACGAAAACTCTTTCGTCATACAAAATAGTGATTCAATTTCAAGAAATATATTGAGTTGAGTACAGTGTTGCGTTGAAATTGTGATAGAAAAAAATAAGATAAAAATACAATTCATTTTAAAATGTACTATAAGGACTAAAACGAACATTTTGAAAGTATAATAACGACTAAAATGAACCAAAAGTTAAAAATACATGGATTAAAATGAAACTTTTGAAAATGCAAAAGACTAAAATAAATCAAAGCTGAAATTACTTGGACTAAAATAGTATTTTAACCTAATAATAATCATGTTTGGAATTTCCTAATTCCTAATCAAATTTAAATTCATTTTACCATCTCTGGCTAGTTCATAATATCTATTTGGAAAGGGTATGGCGGAAAAGACGAGCATGTCCTCCAAATCCATATGTCTAATTATGATATTAAAGTTTTTTTTGTCCTTTGGGATTTGTTGGTCAAACTCTAAAATAGGTTTATGTTGAAAGGATTTCACAAAAGAAAAAGGTATACTATTGTGTGTTATTTCATGGGGTGCTTCCAAACCGCCCATATTTACTGTGAGATCTGCTGTGAACGATGCATCATTCATTCAAGAAAGTACGTAAAAAATATACATGGAGAGATTAAGTAAAAACACCTTCAATTCAAAAAATGACAGAAATGTCGTAATTATAAATTAAAAGAAAGCCGATTTCATGGACCAGGAAGAGACAATTGTTTTTATATCCTTCCACGCCTCTTTGAAGAGGCATCCCTTTATCCACATTACAAATTTACAACCACACCTTTTTTTATATAGTTATCTCATATTCCTCAAAGAAAAAGGAAATTATTTCATACAACAAATAACTTTTCTTTTTTAGTTTCCACTCATATTGAATTCATATTAAGCTTTTGAAATTTATTGTCAAGGCATATATGCTCTTTTTAAAGTTTAGAAATCACAAATATATACTAATTAATTAAATTCAAGCTATATAAATTTAAGTTTTTATAACTTAAGTTGGATTTAGAGAACACAAGCTCGAAGCTAAACATACTTTCTAAAATTAAATGGCTCCTTCAATGCTATTTATTTACCTTTTGAAAAGTTGTTAAATGATTGCTGAAGTTAAAAATTTTAGATTAAAAAATTTTCTTTCTCTAGTTAGGTATTAATGAAGAGGTTTTTTCAATGATATTATGGTTCGAGAGTAGGCTACGTAGGTCCAAAGTTAAAAAGGCAAGAAGAGCACATGGATTGACTAGGAAGAAAAAGGTTGGTCCATGGACTACACAAAATATAATTATAAATATTTGAAAAATTTTAGAATAAAGTTAAGTGTTATATGTATTGGGAGTGTGGAGTGAGAATGAAAGAGAAAAGTGGGAGGCTGCTGCAGGGCCTTGCGGTCGAGAGCACAACGTATCTAGCGTCTCAACATTGTCACAAACCTAAGAAAAAAAAAGAAGCATGTAGACATTTGATGCTACAAAGTCGTCGTAGTGTTGAGATGTTGTGGACACCTCCTTTTTCGTTTAGGTTTAGCATGTGTGGCAAATCAAAAAGAGAGTGACGGTAGAATTGGCAGCACAATGAGGAAGAACGAGATTTTTGAGTTCTTATGTTTATTGTGAGGTTTTTCATTATGTATCCCTAAAGTATCTACGTTGTAGTACTTTAAAGTTATGTGACTATTGGTGTAGTATCTAGAAAGTGATTGTAGAGTGTTGTGAGACTCATTCTAATATTCACGTACAAGGATGCATGTCGAAGAAGATTCTGTACATAGTCCTAAGCTTGGGGTGAACCAATATAACCTCTAGTGTTATCGTATTTCTTTCATAGTGTTTATTAAATTGTGACTTACTCAATTTCTAAGAAGGGAAAAGACTAACTAGATCCTGTCGGATAGCTCGTGTTTGAGGATAGAGGTATTTTATTATACTGTATTTTTTCTAGCAACATAGTTTTCGAGAACAAGCCAATTGGAACGTGACCCTTTGATGACGTTGGATTGAAAGTCAGAAAAAAAACCAGTCAAAAAGAGAGCCCAAATGAAAAACATATGCCTTTTTATATACACAAAGAAAGAAAGTTTGAATTGTTTCGAATTCAAACAAAGCTTTTGAAACAAAAAAAATTGCATGTTGTCCCTCTTATTCAAAAGCACCAAACTTTTAATTTTCTTGCCAAATGATTTGTTATTAAAACCACGTTCTCTCTCTCTCTTTCTCTCCAAGAGAAATGGTCAAAATTTCCTTCAAAATAGGCTTTTTTGTGCAACTCACAATTGGATATGTGATCGATGTGACCAAGAAACTCCTTCCATGCCAATTACCCTCCTCAAAAAGGGTTCTTAATTCGTTTCTTTTTCTTTCCCTCCAAAAACACCCCATTGAAAAGGAATGTCGCGGGAGTCGAGGCAAGGACACAAAAACGAATTAATATTTAACTCACAGTTTTGATAAGTTTGAATTTAACTTAAACTTGTTTTACATTAACGTCTTCTGTCCTACCGTGCGCCTTGAAAGTATTTATACTACCTGGCCTGCGAGCTACTCTTTGAGTTCTGATCCTCTGCTCATCTCGTCGTGGGATTTGTTTTCTTTTTCCTTCTTGTCTTTGTGTTTGTCATTTGGGTGTGGTGCCTTGATCTTGGGTGAGATCCTCTATCTTTACCGGAAAAAAAATAATAATAACGTAAACTTATGTTAAATATGTGAGAACAAAGAAAACATTTTTTTTTCCTCTTTTTGTATAGTTTTTATGCATGATCATGTTTAAAAACACATCTCATTTTAACATAAGAACATAATATGAGAATTTGAAATTTGAAAATAGGAGTGCATGATAATTATTGTTTGAAGTTCTGAAAAGAGAGAAGTAATTGGGTTTTTCACAAGGGCACACCATCATATGAATTATGACCAACTTGGTCCATATAGGATTTTATTTTTTCTTTGTAAATCACTTTATACAAAATGTTTGCTTGTTAAGTAACCAACAGTTATAATGGAGAATCATTTATATTTATGTTTTTTCCCATTATAAACCATCATTTTTATTTTAGAAAAATACATATAGTTGTTTCCTAGTATATATACACATATATGTCATTGAATCCATTACACAATACATTCGTGAAATCATTGACTATTTAAATTTGTGAGAAATGTACGAATTGTTTGTTACAATTAACATAAATAATGGATACAGTATTACTTTCACGAAGATTATTGTTAATTTGATTAATTGAATAATCATAACCATAATTAAGTAAAAAAAATGGTTAAGATTTCAATTTTAATCAAGTTTCTATATGTATAATCTACAATTTTGATTTCATAATTCTAAATTATATATTGATGAAGTAAATTTTTTAAAATAAGAGGCAATGGCATCCCTTGGGGTTGAAGAAGATGCCAACCAGACACTGCCAAATGAACTTTTCAACATCCAAACAAAATCAGCCATCCACTTTGTATAAAAATGCATATCCATCTCCCACAAATCCTACCAATCATGTCAATAGATTAGGGTTCAAAAAAATATCAAACAATTTTATTTTCTATACTTCATTTTCATTGAGAGCCCTCCTATTTATTTCCATAAGATAATTTTATTTAAATCGAATTGGATGGTCGATATTGATTAATTTAATGATGGGGTACAATACTATACGTGGAAGCAAGCGATATAGAGATTTTGGAGAAAATGCAAACATCACTATTAATATTCATAGGATTCTATCTCAAAATCTATAGGCAATAATTAGAGGAGTAGCATATATGCCCCTCAAGATGATGCCTTTATTCGGTTTATTTTTAGATGGGATGCTCGTTTGAGTTTTTTGGACTCTGATACCATATTAATGTTCATGTAGTTTCATCTCAAAACTGGTAATGAAATGAGTAGCCCACCTATGTTATAAACTCTCGTTAGATATGTTATCTTTTCAATGTGAAATCCTTAACAGAAAGAACCTCCGTAGTTTAAAGGGCATTACTCGTTAGATCTTATTTATGGAAAATGAACGGTGAACTTATTAACCCTTTTAAATTTAAAAAGAATGGGAGAAGTTATTTAAAAATGGAGATGAAGATGGTAGAGAAAGGTGAAAGTGAGTAAAGTTGCAATAAAAGAGGATAAGCACAAGGATGTGGGTGTTGGGGGTTGTACTGACAGGAAAATGGTAAAAGCCTGCACCTAAATCCACTGCTCTCACTGCACCCAATTGCCCATTCAAACCCTTTCTTTCTCTTCCTTTTCTTTTGGACACACTGCACTTTCTACATACTTCCATCTCATTCTTCCTCAAACACACACAATAATGGAAACATACTTTTATCATCCTTTTCATTCTCTCCATCTCAAAAATTCAAACTTT